TTTTTAAGACTTTTGGGGTGGAACTGTGGAAGAAGTTTTCATACTTGGGAGGTGAGACAATTGAAAAACAACCTTTCCCTGATTTTAGGAAGGAAATGGATTTTCCTTCCAGAAACAGCTGGTGATGAGGATATTTGGTTCCCCAGAAGGATGGAATAAAGATAAGAAAACAAGGGATGGAGTATCCCATTTCCCCCTCAGTTCAAGAAACAATTCCCTTGGCCTGCTCAGCAAAAAATAAATATGAAAGGGAAGAAAGACCCCCCTTTCTTCAAAAAAATAATTGGAATCAAAAGGTGTAATCATGTTGAAAACTCATAAAGTTTTAAAAATGTAGAATCTTTTAGCATATCTATAAAGAATCTCAGAAAATCTCAGTCTAATTTTAAGAAACTGTGACAAAGAAGCATCACTAGGAAAAATGCCAAAGGTAGAAATTTTTGAAGCATATTCAAGACCACTACCAAAATTTGCACTACCACTACCACTTCCACTACCAAAAAATTTTTTCTTGCCACTACCACTACCACTACCACTACAAAAAAATTTTCCTTTGCACTACCACTACCACTACCACTACCAAATATTTTTTCTTATCACTACCACTACCACTACCAGTAGTGGTAGTGGTAGTGGTAGTGGAAGCATAAAGTAGTGGACTGATTAACAACCCTGGTCATAAACCAAGAAAAAGGGCACTTTGCAAAAAAGTCAGCGTATTTTGTTTCCTTTAGCGAATTTCCTTGAAGGGCGAATAGATTTTTTGAGGGTCGGCTCCCACCGTCCATGTCGATGGAGGGGAATGTAAATTGCTGTTTAGCGCCGTTGAGCCCAAAACAAAGCAGGAACCCTTGGCGGATGTCATTTCTGCTGAGGAGGGGCTGCTTGCTGAAGACCAGGTTGCGTTGAAATCGGCAGAATCGTCTTCAACTTCGAGAGGAACAGTGACGACTGCTTCGTCTGCATTTGTTGCTTTCACCTTGATGTTAGATGATGTTCGTTCGTTGCAATCGTCGGAGGTTGTCCAAGTGTTACACCAAGTGCGGAATCAATTTTGAGTCCAACGACAGCAAGCTGGGCGGCGCATCAGGTTGACGTTGTATTGATTCCAAGTTCAATTCCAGTGTTTTCATTTGATCAGGAAATTTCCAAAAGTGTTTATGACATTGTCCCAATTGTTGAATCCAATCCACAGAATTTGTCTCAGTCCACAGTAGTAATTCCAGAAAAAGAAACTTTGCTGGATACAATAATTGCAAGTTCAGGTAAAGATAAAGCTTATCCAAAGAAAAGAATTGTTTTTTCGGGAACTTCAATTTCAATTGGCTTGGAATACGCAATGGCCAGCGCTTTAGTTATGGGATTTGCTGGGGCTGGAATCAGAATTGGAGTTTATCTTTGGAGAAAACGTCAATCCAGAGTAAGTGCAACTTCGTGGGTTTTGGAAAATTTTCGAAGGCAAATGGATTTAGCATTATAAAATTCTTTTTAATTCTTTGATAAAAGGTGGGACGCGGTAATTGAACGGATGTGGCTTTTTCATCTATTTTGTCGGTGGCAAATGAAAATTTTGGAGCTGATGAAGAAACACCATTTGTTGATGTTGATTTAGGGGCATCTGCATCTGCGTCTGCGTCTAACAAAAAGGATCAGAAAATGTCTGATAATAAAAAGAGTGAACTTTGTATGCATCTTTGTTGTAAACGTACCATCTCAAGCTTCTGGATTACTGAGACAATGGTAGAAGGCAGGGATCTGAGAGGCCAAAATTTCTCTAAACCGGAAACTATTACTTCGTTGCTGACAAATAGAACTGTCAGCATTCTGCCAAAATCTATTGCTGGGCATTGGAGAAGGAGTTTCTTTTTGGTCAGGTATCATCACAAGACATATTTGCCTAGTGCAGATGAGATTGATGAAATGATTATTGGTAGGTCAAGAAAATATAAAATAGCACATTTGTTCAAGAATAAAAAACATTAATATTATTTCTAGAAATGGGAATGGACGCGTCTCATATTGGAAATTGTTGTTTTTGGGCCAGAAGGATTGCTTTACAATATGAAACCTTTCAAGTTAAGAAACAGAGTTTGCAGAAACATTTTGTTGGGGAGAAACAGATTGACTGTAATCCCAGATATTGAGTTGACGAATGAGGAATACAAGAGATATTTCGACATGCATCAAGGTAATAAAATGTTTGTTTTATTCAGAACAACTTTATTCAGTTATTTTATTTTTTCAGTGCTTTTTTGCCATCACAGAGTCATTTATTTGGCTCTTCTTGAGGATAATTTCTTGAATTCTCTTTGAGTGCTCAACCAGTGGCATGCTTGAATTGATCAGGAGGATGAAGCAAGCACTTTCTACAAAGAAGTTCAGCGCTTGACGGGGATGCTTGCCAGTTTTGGACTAATGGAAGGAGATGGCTATTCATTTAGTCAGTTAAGGTTGGCAAGAAAAGTGGTGTATGAAAATAGCTCGGAATAGCAGCGCGACTGTGCTCGTTATAACATGGAGGTCCTATTTTTGGATACTCATGAGGGAGGAGACGCGGGGGCGAGTTGTGGATTTATTTTTGGGGATACTCAAGATTATTTGTTCAAAAGAATGTAAAAAGTTTTGTCTTAAGGCGCAGGAACTAACAAAAAATCGGAATTGAATGATTTGTATATTTGTACATGAATTCTTACTAATCAATCGGGGGAATTTGTTATTTTAAAACTGCGCGCAAAGACTGAAAACTGTTTGGTTGAAATGTTTGAATTTGTTGGGGTTGAGGAATTAAAGAAACTTCCTCCACAACTTGGATTGGTCTCTGTTTTTCTTTCTTCCTCTTTCTGCGCAACACCAGCACTCAAATTTGTGCATAACACCAGAACATTATAAATGTTAGGAAAATCACACAAACAATTATAAGGGCAATCAGATATAAATATCCATAATCTCTAAAATGCATTTGTAAATCGCTGATATCTTCCACAACTTTTCTTTTATCATGATCATCCAAAATTTCTTGTACTTCATTTAACTTGACTTTTTCCATATCCAAAGCAGGTAAAATTTTATTTATGGGACCATTAACCATTGTATAACGACAGTTTGGATGAAATTGAAGAATACAAGTATGAGGGAGTTCATAAATATTTTCATGATTATTTGAATCAGTTGAACAGTACTGGGTTATTCTTCCAGGATTAGGGTCCACAAAAGCATATTCATCTTCATCTAATTTTTCAAATTGTTCTTCAGGTCTCTGAATTTTTTCTAACACACAATTTTTGTGAATAGTATCTTCATTATCAACAATCAAGATAGATTTCACACAGGGATTTGCAGGTCTATTTTGAATGATATTAAACTTGCACAATTGACACTTAAAGAAATCCAAAGCATTCAGGCACTGGGGAAGTTCATGCTCATGTAAGCTGAAAAATTCATTATTTTGAGCAATGATATATTCTTGGGAAATGTCTACCTTCTTCCACTTTGGGTTTCCAAGATAAGTATCTTCAGCGATTGGAAAGGTATGAACTTTAAAGAGACTAAAGAATGCTTTTTGAGTGATAATGGGAATAATTGTAAGGATTTGATAGATACAATTATTTGTTAAAGTTGACTCAGAAGTTTCACTGCTGCAATTTGAAAATATCCCAATTGAAAGCAGGTTAGTGTACAACAGATTGATTATTTCAGGCACACTCAAGGCACTTTCTTAATGAGATAAAATGNGCAATTTGAAAATATCCCAATTGAAAGCAGGTTAGTGTACAACAGATTGATTATTTCAGGCACACTCAAGGCACTTTCTTAATGAGATAAAATGTTATTAATTGCTTCATGCAATCCATGCGTTGTTATTAAATTCTGAGGGAATTTTAAATCATTTCTTCTCTCAATATCAGAATTTATTCTTTTAAAAACTTCTTTAATGGTTAATATAATAGAGGAGATACCTAGTAATCTGGTTTGTAATTGACCATTAGTTAGCTTGGTTATCTCTCCAATGAACTCTTCAATATGTTTTTCCAAATGACTAAGAGTATCATGTCATGATAGCTCCAATGTTCTCTTTAACCTGCAGAAGACACTCCAAACAGCGGCGTTGCCTTTCACTGTGTCACGCCCTTGCTGCGTGACGCCTTGCTGAGTCATGCGCCAAGGGTTGCGCAGCCCTCCCCGAATGAGGTCAGATCCGGGTCTGACCACCATTGCAACACACTGACCAGCCGAATCTATATAGTTACTTGCCTTTACCTTATTGCGTGCTCATTGCTTTCTAGACGTTCTCTGGATACGTACTTGCTGTTGAATACAAAATAAAGCTGCCACATATTTTGTATTTGAGGAGTTATTGATTTACCGAACCCGGCAACAGGAATAAGAAAATCTCCTCACAATAAATTGTTGGAGTTAGTTGAGCTAAACTTACGACGGTAAGTTTATATGATCAGAGGTTTGAAGACGTTTAAACTAAGAGATTGTAACCATTGTTGTCGTGCAATATGGTTTTACAATCAATACAAAGTTTTGATTCGTGTTGAAAACCTTTAAGAGGATGACCACAAAATATGCCAACAATTTATTTATTTATGGTTTGAAACTCTTTTACCAGGTGGATCCTGGACCGAATACTTTAAGTATTCGAGACAATTTTATGAGAATAAACACACGCAAGTTTGACTTACAAGCATTTATTCAGCTCCGATATATACGCGTATACAGCTCTCTCTGAGGGTATCTTTACCACTGCTTTCTACTGGGCCTTGCACGGCCTTTTATCAACTTTAGAGAAACCAGACAGTACAGGGTCATCGTTTGGCAATGACCATCCAGCCAGACAAAGAAAGGAGACACACACGTATTCCGCAACACAGTATTAATAAGATTTATGGGGCGGTCGACCGCCTGGGGAGAAATGCAATTAGGACAGGTAACGAGGGAAACTCAGTTGCGCAAACATGCGCGGCCATCCACATTAATGAGTGGGGCGAGGGGCAAAGGAAAGTTAGAGCATGGTTTTAACCAGCTGACAACAATCACCAGGAACAAAGAAGAAAAAGCTTGCTTTTTCTTATTTCAACTTTGCTGCCATATGGCGATGTTTTGCTCTATTTAAATGCAGCAATCCTCGAAGTGAGGAAAGTGCAACAAGGTTATTCCTTTGCATTTGCAGGTACGTGCAAATTTGCATGTACGGATTTTCAAGTGAGTTTCTTCCCATTGCTCCCATTCAGTTTCCAACTTTTGCGGAGAAACGTAGTGCGTACTTTTCACAGCGTTTTGAGAAAGACTTTGAATTTTTTTAAATAACAAAACAAAAATGTTGGCAGGTAAATTTTTCGTTTTAGCAGTTTGTATTATTTTAAATAAGTATAACTCAAACGCTCAAAGTGAAAATTGCGCATTTGTAGGCAAAAACTGGACTTGCTATGATTTATGCAAGGAAGGGGTTCGTCAAGTTACTGCATATGATGGGATTGTTAAATTAACAGGTCCTGAACTTAATTTAAACTGCGCAGCATTTAATCAAATAAAGGTAAGAAAGTGGACTTTCGCAAACATTCAATCTTCGAGAAAAGTGCACTGTTTATTTTGTAGGTGGTTGTTCTTGATGGTGATGTGGATTGTTCGGGAGATGCGGAAACTTTGTCTATTCTTCTTGAGGGAGGTCGCTGTAAATTGGCTGGACAGGTGTCCTTTGTAGTTCGGACAACAGTTGCTCCAGTCTTCAGCAGTGTTCCCATTTTTGAGGGAATTTCCAGTGAAAATCCAGTCTTCCAGGTCACGGAAAGGATTCTTGATGAGGTGTCTTTCCCAAAGGAATCCATTGTTGGAGCAGGGGATCATCTTAACAGCTCCGACATTTCACAAAATTACACAACATTTGGACATCAAGACAAAGTGTACAATCACGTAGTTGCAGGGGTTTCCAGTTTCATTGCTATAATGCTGTTGGTGGTTGGTATCTGTGTTGGAATCGCGAGCGGACTGATCATTTATATGGTCAGAGAATATGCCATCAACTGGAGGCATCGTCGTGATTACACAGAGGTAAGTCAAAAATAAAACGGAATGTAAGCAAAAATCTTTAATCAGTTTATGTTATCAACAGGTTCTGATTGGGGAGCAGCGGACTTCGACTCCGGAAGTAGTGGAACTCCAGAGTGTGGCTAGTGAAACTCGGAATTCGACTTTAAATACTACAAGTGATCGTAATGATTCGGGAATGGAAAGCATTGATCTTCGCGCTTTGTTGCCGATTTCACGTCAAGAACAAAAACACTATGGTTCCGCGTCATCTGTATTGAGTAACAACGGCGTGGTAGTAAAAAATAAAGTAAAAATAACCAAAAATTGCGCGGAAATGCAAAAAAGCGTTTACAGCTTAAACAATGGACAAGAGAAAAAAATAAATTTCTCTCGCGTTGTTTCTATGACAGAGGGAGGAAATTGCGTATTTGAAGTTGAAGGGGGAAGGGAGCCGCTGGCAATTTTGCCCTGTATCTCAGAATGGATGTTGAATGCGTAGTTATTTGGCTGCCGCAAAAATCGCGCGAATTTGATGAGAAAGAAAGTTGAATAAAAATCTTTACAACAATTTGAGATTTGTTTACTTATTTATTTTTCTATGATATTTGACAAATATAAGGTTGATCTTTATATACACAAACATACATTTACTACATTTCCCTTTATTGTAAACATCTGAATATACATAAAATATAAACTTTCTCCTCACATCGTATATATATATATATATATAGTATATATATTTTCAAATATAAATTTGTATAAGCAACCAATTTTCTTTGAGTAGATAAGTATTTTTCTTTATTTTCTGGCGACACAAGAAAATCTGGGGTTATTTTGCATCGCTGTGTTGTCCGTAAACCAAGGTATAAATAAATGTTCAAGTTCAATAAAAAATATATATTCAAATATATTCAATCCACAAATATTTGTACAATCTCACAAACACAAAAATAGAGAGCTTTAAGAGAATCTTGCTAAAACGTTCTGCAAGTCTCTCTGAGAAATAACCGCGAATGATTCTAGATTAATTCTGAGGAACTATGTGGGAAGGAAGGTGTATTTATACCTTCCTGGAAACATAAAATATAGAGGCAAAATATTCACCGAGATTGAGGAACTGCGGGTTCCCTGAACACTCTTGATGAATACAAATATCCGGGTATCTCCGGGTATATATTATAAATATAAATAACATATATACACTCGCGAGTTCGGCAGAATAGGCTTCTTCTAAATTAGCAGTTTAGAAGAAGATAGTGCGAGTCATTTGTCACTGTCGACAAATAGCAAGTTGAAAAGGAGAAACGCGCAATAATGACCGTCACGCATTAATGCGGGCCGACGTGAGAGAGGGGGAACCAAAACAAAAGGGGAACAGCTGCAAGGAAACGGATACCTTGTAGAGAAGGATCTCCCTCCATATATGGAGAAAAGAAAATAATCGCAATTCGGTTTCTGGGTTACAAACTCACGCTAGGCAAAAATAAAAACAGGTTCCATCGTTTTTCTTGGTAACAAATCAGGGCTTCGACAGAGGAAAAGCTTGACAGGTGCCGACTTGGCGTCGACAAAATCTTTGTTATTGTCAAGTGCTTTGAAGTGCCCGATTCTCACAAGTGCGAGTGTTTTCGAAAAACGACAAAGAGAAAAAACCAATCGTTCTCAAGGTCTTGTTTTACGACGGTTTCTCTGAGTCAAGCCTTCTTCAGGACAGAAAATTGAACCTGAGGTCTTCAGTGCCAATCGACAGTCGGAGCTGTCGATACAAATCTTTTGGTGAGCTGATAACCCTACGAAATTTTTCTTCTTTAAAGTAAAGTCTTGGGTTTTCGTTTCGATTTGCTGTTTCACAGGTTTTTCGGTGTAAAGTAGTTTGTAAAGAAAAATCTTCGCGCCTCTCGATATACATAATTTCAAAAATAAAAAATAGAATACAATATCGCGAATAATTTTTGCAGTACAAAAAGTCTTCAAAAAAAATGAAGGTAAGCGGACAAACAATGAGTTGAAATGTTCAACTGATTATTTGTCTGTTTATTAGTTGTTCCAGGTGATCCTTCTGCTTTCCCTTGTGGTGATGGGTACTTGGAGTACCTGTGTCCTCGAGGGGGATGGCGTTGTCTGCGACGATATGTGCGGAGACGACGTCATCATGGCGTTGGACTNTGTCTGCGACGATATGTGCAGAGACGACGTCATCATGGCGTTGGACCATGGTCGTCGCGTCATTTTTAATGGCAAGGACTTGTTCTTGGATTGTGTTTGTCTGCGGCGATTGAAGGTGAGGTTGCTGCTCACAGGTGAAAAAGCCGTTCGTTGTTTTCACTTGTGTCCGTGACCTCCTCAGGTGGTGCAGCTGCTGCAGCCGGTGACGTGCTTTGGGCGTCGAGAGGGGTTAGACAACGTTGTTACTCCTTGGGAATTTTGTCTGGACAGCATCAGGAGCTCAACTCCACCAAGTAAGTTCTTTCAGCGATTTTTGTTGTTTTTTTTCTTTTCCACAGGCCAACCAAAAAATTAGTTTAAAGAAAAAGTGAATGATGAAAATTTTCTTTCTCCTTTCTTTTCTTTCATAGCTACAAGTTCAACGATGACATCGGTGTCGAGGGTGTCTCAAGTGACGACAATCACGACAGAGGCTGTGATTCGTCATTCCGCAGCTGCCAAGGATAAGGAGATCCTTGCAGCTATGCCTACCGTGGTCCCTGAAGTGACCATTCGGGTCAAAGATGGACAACTGGAGGCAAGCATCAGTGGCAAGACAGCCATGAAGTTTCTGGTTGTGGCTTGCGGAGGATCTGGGATCATCTCGATCCTGGTGTTTTTGGCCTGGATGGCTCGACAGTTCTACTTAAAGGTGAGTAAATATTTCAAGGGCCTCTTTCTCAGTTCAAGAAGATTTTCTGGAGAAAAATAAAAGAAATAGTCTAAAGAAAATTAGTTTTAAAGGAAAAAAAAAGATAAAGAAGAAAAAATCTTTGTTCTCCCCCTAGTTCCCCATCGTCTCCGTCTTAACGGAGGGTATTTAAAACTACTCTAGCTTCTTCTACATCTACGAAAGCAAGCTTTAAAACTCTCGTACACCAGTACATCTTTTGGAGAGGGTAAATATTCTTCAAACCAAAAAGGAAAATTAGGAATTGAAGACTAATGCAATTTTCGGTTTTGTATTTTCCAGTGGCATTCCATTCAACGAGCTGCGAGATGGATGGGCCTCCTAACAGCTGTGCGTCCTACAACAGCCACAGCTTCNTTCTTCAAACCAAAAAGAAAAATTAGGAATTGAAGACTAATGCAATTTTCGGTTTTGTATTTTCCAGTGGCATTCCATTCAACGAGCTGCGAGATGGATGGGCCTCCTAACAGCTGTGCGTCCTACAACAGCCACAGCTTCTGAAGAAGGAGGTGAAGAACAAGTTACCTCAACCGGGGATCTTTTGGAGCTCAACACGGAAAACGTGGAAACAGAAGATCCTCGATGCTCAGCTTTCTGGGCGTAATAATATTGATTGTGTTTTTTCGGCGGTTACTTATTTTGATGCAGTACGGTCTCGGTTAGAAATTTTTGTTTTGTATATAGGAAAAAACGGTCGGTAAAATAATCAAGAAAATGTGGTGAATCGGTTGTGCTTTTTTGTACGGCGCCCTTGATTTTTCTCGTTGTTACCAAAGAAGTTCTTTTTGATTTGCGCCTTGTCGTTGGTACTTTTTTGTATGGTCTGAAAATAAAAGCTTTGTAAAAACGAAAATCTGGTTGTACTTTTTACTTGTAAAAATCAAAAATACAAGCAACAAAGTAAGATTTTAATCTTTTCACAGGGTGTAAAAAATGGGATAAAGATAGGGAAATCGCATCTTTTTAGGTAACCTTCAAAAATACACATAGGGACAAAATTGTAAGAAAAATATTTACCCTCTCCAAAAGATGTACTGGTCTGTACATCTCTGTACTGTACTGGTCTGTACTGTACTGGAAAATCTACATCTTCCTCGATCTCATCAAAATTTATGGGAGGCAATTCTGCCTCTGCTACCCCTTGATCCCCCTCTTGCTTCTAAAAAGAAGAAATAGAAAAATTTTTCCTTTAAGACCAATTTTCTTGAGACTAATTTTTCTTACTCTAGAAAGTCTTCTTGAACCAAGAAAGAGACCCTTGAAATATTCACTCACTTTTGAGTAGAACTGTTGAGCCATCCAGGCCAAAAACACCAGGATTGAGATGACCCCAGATCCTCCGCAGGCCACAATCAGGAACTTCATGGCTGTCTCGCCACTGATGCTTGCCTCCAGTTGTCCATCTTTTACCTGAATGGTCACTTCAGGGAACACAGTAGGCATAGCTGCAAGGATCTCCTTATCCTTGGCAGCTGAGGAATGACGAATCACAGCCTCCGTCGTGATTGTCGTCACTTGAGACACCCTCGACACTGATGTCATCGTTGAACTTGTGGCTATGAAAGAAAAGAAACAAGAAAGAAAAATTTTATCATTCACTTTTTCTTTAAACTAATTTTTGGCTGGCCTGTGAAAGAGAAAACAACAACAAAAATCGCTGAAAGAACTTACTTGGTGGAGTTGAGCTCCTGACACTGTCCAGACAAAATGCCCAAGGAGTGACGACGTTGTCCAACCCCTCTCGAAGCCCAAAACACGTCACCGGTTGCAGCAGCTGCACCACCTGAGGAGGTCATGGACACAAGTGAAAACAACAAACAACTTTTTCACCTGTGAGCAGCAACCTCACCTTTAACCACCGCAAACGGACACAATCCAAAAACAAGTCCTTGCCATTGAAAATGACACGACGGCCATAATCCAATGCCATGATGACGTCGTCTCCGCACATATCGTCGCAGACAACGCCATCTCCCTCGAGGACACAGGTACTCCAAGTACCCATCACCCCAAGGGAAAGCAGAAGGACCACCTGGAACAACTAATAAACAGACAAATAATCAGTTGAACATTTCAACTCATTGTTTGTCCGCTTACCTTCATTGTGAAAAATTTTCTGAAGATTTTTGTACTGCAAAATTTGTTCGCGATATTGTATTTTATTTTTTGAAATTATGTATATTGAGAGGCGCAAAGACTTTTTCTTTACAAACTACTTTACACCGAAAACCTGTGAAACAGCAAATCAAAACAAAAACCCAAGACTTTACTTTAACGAAGAAAAATTTCGTAGAGTTATCAGCTCACCAAAAAGATTCGTGTCGACAGCTCCGACTGTCGATTGGCACTGAAGACCTCAGGTTTGATTTTCTGTCCTGAAGAAGGCTCGACTCAGAGAAACCGTTGTAAAACAAGACCTTGAGAACGATTGGTTTTTTCTCTTTGTCGTTTTTCAAAAACACTCGCACTTGTGAGAATTGGGCACTTCAAAACACTTGACAATAACAAAGATTTTTTCGACGCCAAGTCGGCACCTGTCAAGCTTTCCTCCGTCGAAGCCCTGATTTGTTACCAAGAAAAATGATGGAACCTGTTTTTATTTTTGCCTAGCGTGAGTTTGTAACCCAGAAACCAAATTGCGATTATTTTCTTTTCTCCATATATGGAGATCACTTGTGTCCGTGACCTCCTCAGGTGGTGCAGCTGCTGCAACCGGTGACGTGCTTTGGGCGTCGAGAGGGGTTAGACAACGTTGTCACTCCTTGGGAATTTTGTCTGGACAGCGTCAGGAGCTCAACTCCACCAAGTAAGTTCTTTCAGCGATTTTTGTTGTTATTTTTCTCTTCCACAGGCCAGCCAAAAAGTTAGTTTAAAGAAAAAGTGAATGATGAAAATTTTCTTTCTTGTTTCTTTTCTTTCATAGCTACAAGTTCAACGATGACATCGGTGTCGAGGGTGTCTCAAGTGACAACAATCACGACAGAGGCTGTGATTTGTCATTCCGCAGCTGCCAAGGATAAGGAGATCCTTGCAGCTATGCCTACCGTGGTTCCTGAAGTGACCATTTGGGTCAAAGATGGACAACTGGAGGCAAGCATCAGTGGCAAGACAGCCATGAAGTTTTTGATTGTGGCTTGCGGAGGATCTGGGGTCGTCTCGATCCTGGTGTTTTTGGCCTGGATGGCTCAGCAGTTCTACTTGAAAGTGAGTAAATATTTCAAGGGCCTCTTTCTTAGTTTGAGAAGATTTTCTAGAGAAGAATAAAAGAAATAGTCTCAAGAAAATTAGCCTTAAAAGGAAAATTTTCTATTTCTTCTTTTTTAGAAACAAGAGGGGGATCAAGGGGTAGCAGAGGCAGAATTGCCTCCCATAAATTTTGATGAGATCGAAGAAGATGTAGATGCTTTCGTTCGAAATTTTGAGAGCATGACCAGTACATCTTTTGGAGAGGGTAAATATTCTTCAAAC